AGCAATGTCATTCCCTGAATAAGCACCATTTCAGGACTTGAAAGTAACTAGTTACATCACATAGTTACCTGTCATTCATTACTTTAAGCTCTGTTTTAAAAGGAACATAATGAATAGTTTGTATGCCAGGAGATTTATATTAGCCTTCTTCTGTACACTACAACTCACAAGCTGAGTATGCTCAGCCCAAAGCGGAAAGAGTCAGAGGTGGTATGGTAGCCATTTTGACACATATTGGGCAGGTCATTGTACGGGAAATGGAGCAAGCATTTTTGTGCTTCTCCAGAGGGTAGGACTCCAAGCCAGTGGGTTCAAATGATAAGGAAGGACATTGTGACTGGGCATTAATGAGAAATGCCTGAGGGTAAGGTTTAGGGTTAGTAAAGGTAAAGGTTCCCCTTGACAATTTTTGGCCAGTCGTGTCCGACTCTAGGGGGCAGTGCTCATCCCCGTTTCCAAGCCACAGAGCCAGCGTTTTGTCTGAAGACAATCTTCCGTGGTCACGTGGCCAGTGCGACTTAGACACGGAACGCTGTTACCTTCCCACCGAGGTGGTCCCTATTGATCTACTTGCATTTGCATGCTTTAGCGTTCCCAATTGCTTCCCAACCTTGGGTCTCAGACCTTGGACTACAACTTCCAGAAATCCTGGCCAGCACAGTTAGGGTGAAGGGTTCTGAGAACCTGGGAACCCAAAGTCGGGAACCACTGTATCTGGGAAATTCCATTAGTCCCATGGATATTTTTCAAATATGTTGTGGATCTGGAAACATTGTGCACTCAGAACTATGCGCTGAGGCTATGAATTGTTTCTAAGTCACTGACCTAAAAATGCACCACTGCCAGTCAAGAGTTCTGGTACCGTAGGCTTTGTAAGACAAAGCCAGTACAGTGGTGACGCGCATTATGACGTTAATTAGTTCCAGCGAAATCGCTGTAGAACGAAAATGTCGTAATGTGAAAATAAAAAGCCCATTGAAACGCATTGAAACCCCTTAAATGCATTGAAACCCCTTCAGTGCGTTCCAGTGGACTGGAAACTCACCGTCCAGCAAAGATCCTCCATAGGGTGGCCATTTTCAGTGGCTGTCTTGCGAGGAATCTGTCCCAGAAAGCAGCAGGGAGCCATTTTATTTACCCGGTGGCCATTTTGAAACCGCCGATCAGCTGTAGAAAAATCATCGTTTTGGGAAGAATCAGTTCCCGAAGCAGGGAACTGATCATCGCAAAGCGAAACAAGCCCGTTTAGATCATTTTGCGATCGCAAGATCGTCGTAATGCGGGGCAATCGTAATGCGGGGCAATCGTAAAGCAAGGCACCACTGTACATCTGTTTTGAAATGTAATTTCTGAAATAACCTCCCAGTCCTGGTGAACAATTGTCACGACGTCAAGCCAGATAAACGGATGTCTGAACCTAAGAGTCCTACAAAGCTTAGGAGAGCTTCAAGAAGAAAATCAGAAGCCCATGTTCATCACAGCTGGCCTTTATCCCAAAAGGAGTTCATTCCAGTGAGAACCGGAACAACATTTTACACCTTGCATAATGTTCTTTTTTTCTTCTGGATCTTTCTTAAGTTCCTGTCCCTTTGCAAGTTTGGCCAATTGGGTTTCCCAAAATACCTGGTTTTCCCTCTTATATTTTTCCAAACACACACAAGAAAATGTTTGTGAGTGATTATTTACAAAATGTATATTTATAAGGTCAAGCAGGATGTGTCAGAAATAGGCTGATAGAAACTTAGAGAAGTTGAGATACTGCCAAATAGTGAAGTTAATAACTCTCAGTGATATGAGTCACAGCAACATGGATAAATTTGATAAATCAGAGCCTACACAAAAAACAGCATCATATTAGTACAGGTTTAGAGAATAAATTCTAACCTCCACCCACCCCATCTCTCTCCCTAAACATGTACCCCCTCTTTCTGCTAATACTCCCAGAATGTTATTTATTTTCCTTTTTAATCTGTTCTTATCAAACTCATCAACAGTCAAGCAATTTTGCTGTTCTAGTAAATCACTTAAGCTTTGTACCTGCTTCCAATATCTTCTTATAGAAATTTCTATTACTATTCCTTTATTATTATTTTTATTCATTTTATTTATAGGTCACCTTTCTCCTTAGAAGAGGACCAGGGGTGGCCTGCAGAGCAGAATTAAAAACATAGTAAGTTAATCAATTAAAACCCTATGCACATTAAAATTGATTGAATAATTAAAAGCAGGCGAACATTAAAAATTATCTTAACTTTAAAAATGGCATTCAGGGGCTCAATCATGAATGTTAAAAGGCTGCCTTTGGTGGAAGGATAGAAGGAAGGGGCCCTGATCTTCCAAAGGAGAGCATCCCATATCCATAAAGAAAGCTCTGTCAGGCCCCCATCAGCTCGATCCCATTGCCTGCACTGGTAATGGGACCAAGAGGAGAGCCTCCTCTGATGATCTTTTTTTTTTTTAATTTTGATAAGTTGGGTTAGGGTGTGGGATACAGAAGGTAAGAGGGGGGGAAAGGGTTGGGGTTAGGGGGGGAGGAGAAACAAATATATACTAACATCCATTCTATTCATATTGCAATATCAAGATTCAAACTCCGCTTTTCTACTATTTTCTGCCTTCCAGATTTTAGTTCACATTTTGACCTCTGTTATTCGAGCACTATCTGGTGATTCTAACCATTTGTAGAATAGGTCCCATCTTTCAGTTGACTTTTGTAATGGACAGTCCTTCATCACTTTCGATAAAATGTCCATTTCTGCCATTTCCTTTATCATCTCCGTAAGATCTTCTTGTTTCAGTACCACCGGACTTTTCCAATTTTTGGCATAAAGTATTCTAGCTGCAGTAACTATATATAACTATACACTTCTCTGCTTTATCTACGTATATTATCTGGTATCATACTCAATAAAAATAGCTCTGGGGTTATTGGAACCTTACAAAGCAGTATTTGTTGTAACACAGATGTACTCCTATCCAATATTGTTTTGCTACTCTACAGCCTCTTCTGATGATCTTAAACACCGAGACAGTGCATATGGGGAGATGCAGGTCTTCAGGTACCCAGGATAGGGCTTTATATGTAATATTAGTTTTGCTGGCTATGGGGCCAGAGGTTGGGAGTTTGTAATATTAGTTTTGCTGGCTGTGGAGCCAGAGGTTGGGAGTTTGATTCCCCCACGGGGCCTCCTTTGAAAGGGGCTGGACTGGATGATCTACAGGGTCCCCTCCCAGCTATGCCGTTCTAAGGTTGCTGTCATTGTTATTGTTGTTGTTGTAAGGTTGCCAGTAGCCGCTTAAGCAGGCAATGGGTTTAGTTTTCATTAATTAAGATGTATGGAATAAAGGAGATGATTACTGAGGTGCTAATTGATCCCATCAGTAAATATTATCTCCTGGTTATTCAAATGCATTATAGCACTTCAAACAAGATGAGTGAGATGTTATCTTGCAAATCCCTTGATCCTATGCTTGCTTCATTTGCAACCTGGATGATTAAGTCCAACCCATAGGGCTTTTCCATGGGTCGGGAGGTTGGAAGGGAAAAACCCAGCAGGAAAGAGACCGCACCCATCTTTCGCCGACTCCATCGTCAGGCAGCGAAGAGAGAGGTTGAACAACCCAGGTGAGGTGTGAGTGAGGAACGAAGAAAAATCTCCCCTGTACAAGAAAGATTTATGAGTTGGGGGTGGGGTGGGGAGAAGAGATGTTCCCAGATCTTTGTGCCACCATTACAGGGTTTCAACCCTGTAGCATACTTCCAAGGGAAAAATAAATTTGATGAGTGGGTGTCTCTCAAAAAAGCAGAGCGTCGGGTTGCTCAGAGAAGTGATTATTGCAGTACTCTCCACTGAGCTTGAGCTGGCTGGATGGCTGGCTCTGTGGCTTAGATCTCTGGCTGCAGAGCCATAGTCTGGGAGTTCGATTCCCCCACTCGGCCTCCTGGGAGAAGAGCCAGCCTGGGTAGCCTTGGGCTAGCTGCACATTCCCAAGGCTGCCCCCTAGTGGAAGGTAAGGAGAAACCACTTCTGGGCACTCTCTACCTGGAAAGCCCCTGGAAAGGGTTGCTCTAAGTTGAAATCAACCTGATTATTAAGTCAATTCTTCCCAAAAAAAATACTGTTTATTAATGTAGGATATTGTGCTTTTGTAGCCACAATTAGAAAAACCAGGAAATGGCCCGATATGGCAAGCAGGAGAAAGGATGCCAAGCTTCACATAGCAGAGGGCAGCCTGCATGTTGACCACACCCATGGCAGCAGTCCAGCTGGTCTCTACAGAGTGTGCTCACTACTATTCTCCTCGTGCGCTCACTATTATTCACACTTGTTGAAAAACAGAAAAACAGCCCTGACCATCGCTTTGCGTTTGGGTGATGAGTGGTGAACTGATGAAAAAAGGAGTCCGCTTCTGGGATTTTCCCTT